ATAAATATATATATGAGTATTCATATATATATATATATATATATATATATATGTACTTTAATACAGCTTACTAGCAAATATATTACCCCATATAGTTACTCTTTTTAAATTTATTTTTGAGTTAGCATACAAAGTATAGATTTCATTATAACATTTTCCTTACCCACTGGTTCTTTCTTAAGCTAACTGTTTGCCGAATGTCATATTTCACATTATAAGTTACTTTGATAGTTTGTTGAATTGTCTATATTTTGAATTCTTTTTCAGGCAGTTCTTCCATGTCTCTTGCTAGTGAGTTATTGTGTTCCTTGGAGATACCATGTGTGTCACCTTGTTGTTTCATATTTCTGTGTCCCTGTGTTAACATTTGTGCATCTGACCTGCTTCTATCAGGCGTGCAGGGTAACTTTGGCGGTAAGTCTTTCTCCTGACGATGTTTCCAGGGTGATGATTGGACAGGCTGTATTGGGATTCTTGGGCTGCATTGAGTTTCAGTTGGATACTTTTTATAGTGTCTGCGTAACTTCTACAGCTCTTCACAATATTCATAATATCTGCAGGTATCTAAGTGTCAGAGCTTGCAGGATTTGTGGGATGTTGTTACCAGCTGGGTTGTTGTTTGCCTCTCTCTCTCATTTTGTGTGGATTTATTGGCTGTGCCATCTACAATGGGTTTGGAGTTTCTGTCAGTTTCTGTGGGTTGCTGCTTTGTTAGTGGGCTCAAGTATGTTGCTTCATGCTGATACCGAGTCAAGGAGTTGTCAGTATCTGAGGTCTTTACCATGATGAGAAGCAGTAGCCTAGTGAGTAGAGAGTCAGTATAGGCTTTTGTAATGACTCAAACACGTGAGATTTAGTAGAATTCAACTGGGGTCAAACTGAACTTTCCCAGTTTAGTGTTCTCTTTTTTATGAATGACCTGTTTTGCTTCACCTTTGAGAAACTCATACTGAAATGATGAGTGTGGGCTTCAGTGGTGTCTGGAGGCAGAAGAGAATGAATGAAGGCTAAGTGTCACATGTCTTGCTCTGCATACCGAAGTCCAGATGTCTTAGGAATGCTGGATAAACTGTAAACTGGGAAGTCTGGACATGCTCTAACGAAGATGAAAGTTGCAAAGCACTTTCAATTATAAAATTTGGATAGACCAATGAAATAGAAATGGTAAATAGCTAACAAATATTTTTGTCCAAGGTATTTCAATTAATTAACTGATTTATTCTTACGTGTATGGGCATTTTACCTCCACTTATATGCCCGGTGCCCACATAGGCCAGAAGAGAACTTCAAATCTCAGGGACTTAGAGCTACAAATGGTTGTGAGCGGACATATGCATGCTGGGAATCAAACCTGGCTCCTCTGCAGTGCTCATAACTACTGAGCTTTTGAGCACCTCTCTGAGACATTTCTAATTATAAAAGTTTAGAGAAGTTTTAATGTTTTCCTTAGAAAACCTTAAATATCAAACAATTTTCAGTTTCAGAAAGTAGATAAGGGATTTTTTTAATTAGCCGGGTAAACAAATATGTTTTGTTATCACAATCACCAAGGAAATGGTTAACTTGAACAAGAACTTTAGCAGGTCAAAGCTAACTCAGTCTTAGTTATTTTACATACATGTTTCTGTAATAAGAAAAAAATGAATGTTTGGTCAAGAGAGATAAATGTTCAAGTTTAGTTTAGAAGCATGCACATGTTGAATGTGATTTTATATTTTAGGATCTAAAAGGCTGTGTTTCTAAGAAATGGCTGCTTTGGTACTATGAGGAATCTGCTCTGCTTGACCATTCACTCCTTTTGGATTTTACTGTGCCAGTGCGCGCTCTCTCTCTCTCTCTCTCTCTCTCTCTCTCTCTCTCTCTCTCTCTCTGTGTGTGTGTGTGTGTGTGTGTGTGTGTGTGTGTGTGTGTGTGTTTATGTGCGTTCACGTGCACGCGTGTGTGTGCTGTGCCTGTGTATATATGCACATGCATGTGTGGGTCTGTATGCTCCTTTCCCTCTCGAATAGTTATCTAGTGGTGCTGTTATTATTGCATGGGTATTTCCCTTAAGACTTAAGTTGGCTTCTCTGGAAGCTGCTATAAATATTCTAGATATAATAATATGATACTTAACATACCATTTCCGTTTAGTATATTTTTTCATTTTTACTTTTTGTGTACTAGAGAAATGACTTACAACTGGTGTAATTTTGGTAAATAGAGAAAGACAGTTGAGATGTGAAGCTTCTCAAATCAACTGCAAGGTCAAAATGGATGTCATCACTGCACACGGCTTACTTAGTTTGAATGTCTGCTTTAAATACTTTATAGTCATCTCATACATTTAAGTGGTTTGTAATGTCATTAAAATAGCAACTAATTAATACATTCATGCAATTTATAAAAATGAATCAAATGCTACGAATTCTTCTGCTGCTATATTTATTTATAACAGTGTGTGCAGCTTAGTGTGTGCTTGTATTTGAAAAGCATTTCAGTAAATGTTTGCTGTTCTCACATTGTGGTCAGCTACAGTCTTGTACCACTATTCAGTAGACAAAGCCATCAAAGTAATTAGTTTAAAAGTACTTTTCCATTTAATAAACCTTTTAAACTGTTTGAAAATTATGGGTAAGATTGCTTGTGGATTATGTTAGGATGAGTTCTATAGAAACAAAAGATGGTTTTCTAGATGGTTTCCTATTAGTAGATGCTCTAAGAAGGCTTTTGAGTGTTACAGGACTGTTAGCAGATGCTCTAAGAAGGCATGTGAAAGCTACAGGGTATCAGGAGGTGGGGAAGAATGCCTAAGCAAGAGAGGGCATCTTGGTGGAGGCTGATGTTGTTGCCAACTAAGTCAGATTGGTACCAGGGTTGACCTCCTTGGAGGGATCTGATTGGGCTAGCCTTGTTGTCCTATGTCTATCAGTCAGCTGCTATTTGTAGTTGGTGTTGGAAACATGTGGGAAGGCACCTCAGAGTGAGATGCTTCTGCTGTGGCCACAGAAGAGAAAGGTCTATTCCCCCCTAAGAAACAGCCACTATTTTAAAGGCAAATAATAGTTTAAAAGGACAGCAACTCATGGGGCCTGGGTTCTGTCCCTTTCCCCTCTGCAGAACACCCCACATACATATGAATCAGACAAGGGTGGAAATTCAACTGTGTTCAAGGCCCTTTGATTTTAGAAATAGCTTAAAACCTTAACAAGGTCACGGGCTTTCATTCTGTTCTTCAATTGCTAGTGGGATGATATTGAAGAACTTCTCCTGCTAACTTCTGTTAAAATGCATCCACATTACCGTGAATGAAAATGGCCCTTGAGAGAGGACCTGAGACATTGTCCTTGACAACCTGAGGGCATTTTAAATGCCAAGTGCATGCAGGCAAGCTTTTCTTCTAGGTTAATTTTCCTACTTGAAATGTTTTATTTGCAGAAGCCTTTGGCTGTCTGCACATGCAGAACCCATCCAGTTGGAACCAAAGCACTTGGTGTATTCATGAATGAATTCATTTTGATATTTCCCCTGCATTGGATTATTATGACATACTGAATAGTTCTCTCTTCGCAGACTACCTCCCACTGTCTTTTTCTTCCTTTATATAGTAGGTATGGAGAATTTTCTCTTTTGAAAGATATTTGTCTCATACTCCCTATCGGTGTACTGAAGGAACGAGGTAACCTTGTATGAGGATGGTGGAATCCCATTAGTTCCACTCACTTAAAGGGTATTTTATTTTGTTAAAATGTCAAGTTATTTTCAGAGGTAGAATGATACCTGAAAAATATTGAATTGCATAATCTAAGGTGTAAGATCATTGGTACCACGGGAATAAACAATGGTGATTCGTCTTGGATCAAAGAAACATTTGTTACTATTAATACTTCCCTCTGATTGCATCTGTATTTGATTATTCTAATTTACTTAGGAATAATAATAACATGCAAATAAAATCAGAATATAAAGAGGCATTAATTCAGTTGAGAGTTCAAACTGACAATGCAACTTTTTCACTTTGCACAAGACTTTGCACAGAACTTTATAAAGAATGTGAATCATATACCATGCCTAGAGGAGACGGGACAGGACTAGGTGCATTGGCCCAGGGTGGACACGTGACTAGGGCAGCTTGCAGGATCTTGTTTATAAGTGACTTAAGTGTAAAGGCACTTTCTCCAGCCTCATGATTTTCATTTTAACCCCTGAAACCCAAATAATAGGAGAGAGCCAACTTCTGTAAATGTCCTATCACCTCTTGTGTGTGCATGTACAGGCACGCATACACACATGCACAAAATAAAAACCCAAATTATTTATTTGGTCATAGAAATGTAACAGCATTGTTTGTCTTTTCAGTAACAATCTATAGTCTCATCCACAAAGCATGAGGTAAAGAGAGTAAAGTAAAAGATGATTTGACTTGCCTTGGAGCTCAAAGCGCAAATAAATGCCTCTCTCAATCTGTCTTTATTTTCCTTTGTATAAAATGTTCATCCGTTTACATTTGTGTTTGTCTCCAGCATAGAAATGGGAACTTCGCTGAATAAGAAAAATATCATCTTTTTAATCTGTATCCCTAATAAGTATTTCCCAGTGTTTATCTACTCCATTCACTGGTGATGGCTTTTAAAATATTGCTATAGGGAAGATAGAATAACTATTAAAAGAATATTGTGTCTCACCAACATCTTTGAATTATCCCTGGAGCTCTAGTGAGATCAAAGCAAGGACTAAAGAGCCCACTGGACATGGGCTTAGAACAATGGATCAAGCACTCGGTGGCTGACAGGTGGCGATAGCTCACTCAGCTGAGCATGCTGGCGCCTTCCCATGGTCTCTGCCCCCAGGATGAAGCTGGAGGGTATCTTGAGACCAGCTTGAACAGCATAGTGAGATCTTGTCTTCAAAAGCCTCATTTTCTACCATGATCTTCATTGCCTGATAGCTTGAACAGTTTGAAGTCCCTTAAATCCCATGATTGTTCACGTGACTGTGTGTGACATTTTCATTGCTTCCAGTAACTTCCAACTAAGTGAGGAAGAGCAGTGGATTTACCAGGCTGTCTTAGACCAGTATCCAGGAAATCTCGTTGGCAGAAGGGCTCTGTACTTGGACATGTTGCAAAGATATTTTCCTCACAAGTCCAGGCATCATTTGGTGAGTGATCCTGATGATGAGTATGCATACCCTGTATGCCTGTGAATTGCTGTGTTTAGAGGTCCATAATTAGTAAGACAAATATATGTCTGTTAAATAGTGCTTTGAAAATCTTTTATTTCTCCACTATGGGAGATATAGTCACAGGCTGCAAACCCATGTGGGTCATTTTTGAAGCCTGTAAAGTCTGAATGAAGTCCAGGGCCAGCCAATCTGTGCCCACCTTCCTGGAGACCTTCACCATGGTTTCCCAGCTACAGAGCAGCCATTTTACCCCTGGAAATCACACCGTCTTTTTCCTGCCTGTTATGGAGCTTTTATCATATCTAGCTCTTGCCTGAAACATAAATGCCTGCCTTCTACCCACAGAGCCTATCTCGCTTCAGTCCTCGGCCTGGAAAAACCAGCATTTTCCCTGGGCAATGTCACTAGCCTCCACCACAGCTCTGCCAGATTTCCACATGGTTCCAAGCACAAACCTCACTGCAGGGACTAAAGATCAGACTGAAAGTTACCCGAGAGGAAGTTGGGAAATTATTATTTCATTCTGTAGTGGGCAAGACAACAGCAGCAGGGATCTAGAAGTTACCATGTCACCAGTGAACTCAATGGTAATTCACCTTATAACACACATGTAACAAACATGTGCAGATTTAACTTTTTGATGAGCTGGGCTGTGAAATAGCTCATGCTGTGCGTCTTCATGAGTCCTATAAAATTCCTTTACTACACATGACAATGGATGAAATACCATTGTTATCATTAATGTCTGGTGAAGAAACCAAAGTAAAGACCGTACACTACTGTGGTCATCCTCTCCCATCCCTCTCAGCCTGCCCCATTCCGCTCTCCACCCCCATGTAGTGAGCATTTAATTCTGGTCTTTAAGTGACTCATTATAGAGCTTTAAAAATTCTTAATTGATCAAATTAGAGGTTTCTTTTTATTCCCTAATAGGTCTGTCTGCCTCAGCAGCTAGCCGTCAAGTGTAACTTTGTAGATTTTTATATTTTATTACTATTGATGTGATAAAGATTTTTACATTTACTTTCTACACGGGATTGATTACTATATTTTTCCTGCGTGGTTCATGCTTCCTCTCCTTGATGTTTGACAAATGTTAAGTATATTTTTAGCTTTCTAGAACAAAGCTTAGAAGTTCACAGAATGTGTTTTCTCCCTGGTTAGAGTGAGACCATGGCCTACTTTATCATGATCCTAATTAATTCCACCTAAAGCGTTGTTCTTTATGTAAGCATTACCTTCTCTTGCTTCTTTTCTAATGCCTAGCAACACAGGGATCAGGTAATTTGTCAGATTCAGAGGTGTGAGCTATACTAGAAGAGTAAAGACTTCTAGCAATGACTCTCATTTCAGAGCCCCCTGCAGGGATTTTAGACAGATCAGGCTCCCTCTGCCCCTGCACTTCCCTACTTCTTGAGTCCCCTGGGACTCTGTACTTCCCAAGGTTACTATTCACCTTGGGAATAAGTGCCTGCTGCCAATAAGAACCCATGTCCCTCATGGGGGAGTTGGGCGGGGCGCAGGAGGGAAGGGAGGATAGGAGGCCAGAGGGCATTATCACCAGATTACTTTTAAGCATCCCAGCAGCTGAGCTCTTTAGTGATTACAGGCAAAACTGTGTCTCTCTAAGATTATTGTGGCATTCAAAGAATATTTTAGTGGGGCTGGAGAGATGGCTCAGTGGTTAAAAGAAATGGCTGTTTTTCCAAAGGACGGGGGTTCACTTCTCAGCATGGATATGGCAGTTAACAACTATCTGTAACTCCAGTTCCAGGGGCTCCAACACCTTCACATAAACATGCATGCAAGCAAAACAAATATGCACATAAATTTAAAATAACTAAATACATTTAGCAAAGTATGTTATTTGACTGTAACAATATAATCATGTAAAATACCAAAATTGACTTAAAGGAGGAATATTTAAAATTACATACGGGAACAGATTGTGTTTTTGTTAAAGCTATTACCATTTAGAATTAAGATCCATTGCAGGGACCACTCGAACTGCTTCCATCCTATCTGAGGAAACAGAGGACTTAGAAAATTACGTGACATCATTAGTTGCCAGTTAGACACAGTCTCTGAAAAATATGGAGCTCGTGTCTTATTCCTGGTTATGGTGAGAATGTTTGTTTAAAATCATTGATTATAGTGAATTTTGTCTATTTCACAACAATGACATTAATTTTAGGTCCATTTAGAATGATAAGCAACTGCCTTCTGTTACCTTCGTAGGTAGAACATGAGAAATACTGTGACCAGTATCGCTTTACTAGAGAGCAGAGAAGAATCCTGATAGACAATTGGAATAGAAACAGGAAAGACTTCATACAGAAAGCCATGCTGACTCTCCTTGAGGCCTGTGAAGCCTATGAAATGGAGGGCCTGCTAGCCAAGGACAGAAAACGGCAGCAGGAACTCTGTGCTGACCTGAAAGCCAAGGTAAGACGCTGCAGTGGGTGCTGTGATACAGGAGGAGCTGGAAAGCCCAAGAAGGAAAGACTCATATGGAGTTTTCTCGAGCAAGCTTGATGGCCATGCGTGGCCCTCAGCAAGGTGTGGGTGTAGGTAGGGCTTTGCCCCTCCTCTGGCCCACTGAGGGGGCTTCAGTATGCTTGAAGAGCTATGGTTGGAAGACTGGAGTGTGGGCGTCTGCTGCACACAGGCGAATACAGAGGCGCTGTACCTATCCCAGGCTGTGGTGCCGCACATCAGAGACAGTGGGAGGCGGATTTCTGAGTTTGAGGCCAGCCTGGTCTACAAAGTGAGTTTCTGGATAGCCAGAGCTACAAAGAAACCCTTTCTCAAAAAACCAAACACCAAAACAACAAACACAAAGAGTCTACTTCTGTTCAAATCCTACTTGAAGATCAGTTCCTCTGAAAAGTCCAACTTGATGAAAACTGTTGGTTTGAACCATAGATGTTGCAATCCATTTAGGTTAAAAAAAAAAAGCCCATAATCAGCCATTTTATAGAAAGCTCAATCCAAGGTTACTGTAATAGGATGTTAGTACTGAAATTTTGATAGTGACATCTAAGACCTGCAGTAGGTGTCACGAATCAGGCCTCACTCAATGGAACTGTCTGATTCTGAGCCAGGCTCCATTCACATCGGAGGAGCTGGAAAGCCCAAGAAGGAAAGACTCATTATGGAGTTTTCTCGAGCAAGCTTGATGGCCATGCGTGGCCCTCAGCAAGGTGTGGGTGTAGGTAGGGCTTTGCCCCTCCCCTGGCCCACTGAGGGGGCTTCAGTATGCTTGAAGAGCTGTGGTTGGAAGGCTGGAGTGTGGGCGTCTGCTGCACACAGGCAAATACAGAGGGGCTGTCCCCGTGCTGGAACTGAAGATATGGGTTGCAGTTGTGCTCGAGTAACTGTGCTTTCCTCTGCAGTCACAGGGCCAATATATGAATTGTGCTCAGGTACAACGTGATATAGTCACCTTGGTTTCCTGCTAAGTCATTTAGGAGGATCACAAAGGTTCAACAAATAAGACAGTTTATTCTGTTAGTAGAAAAAAAAACCAACCTGGCAGACATGGTATCGTGAGGAATATATCTGACAACAAATGCTTGTTTCAAAACATTGGAGAAAACATGATTGACTGGGCATTTTTTAAAAAGTAGGAAGACCTTCTTTTCACACTAGTTTGGAACGTAAAAAAGTACAAGTTGTCTCTAAGCTGATAGACCCCAGGCTGTAGAGACAGTATGTGTTTCTCATCCTTGGAGGCTGATTGGGAACACAGCGGCAGGGGCAGGGGCAGTCTGAGCACTCCTAGACTGCCTCTGTTCACTTGGCGAGCATTGCCATTAGTCTTTGAACTGTGCTGTGAGCAGCGTGTTGCACTGTGTGCTCCCAGGCACTTAAGTGAGCTGTAGAATGAAATGCGCTTATTAGACCTCATATAAACACTGAGCTAAGATACACCGCATACAAAACAAATTTCTGTGGCTCAGAGGCTGGCTCACAGTGTTTTTTAGTAAAGACTGCCCCCTTACCCTAGCCACACTCCTGACTCCATCACTGTGGGTGTATTTTGTCTACCCCAAACTGTATCCACACCAAATCATTGAGCATGCAGCCTTTAGCCTTCTTATGCTTATCATATCTGCTTGAACCTTGTTTCATGTGGAAATAACTTGTTCTTTTTAGTGTTGTATAGCATTTCATTTCATAACAACACGATGTCTATGGTTTCCCAAATTTTGCTCTTCTGAGCATAATTGAAAATGCCTTCCTGAACGGACGTGCCGATTCCTATTGGGTCCTCAGGAGCAGAGAGGGTGGATCATAAGGTTTGCATGGATGTAGCTCAAGTAAAAAATGCTCAGATGATTTCTCCAAGTGGGTATCTAGATTTTCAGGCTACATCCATCACATCATGTTCTCACCACTGCTGCCTCTCTAGTCTTGGTGACTAAGGAGTGGGGAATCCTTGCGATTTTCACGAGTATTTAGAATAACTCATTATCTAGCTAATGAGCCTTCCACTCATGTCTTGCCAGTTTCTCTCATGGTGTTCTATTCAGGAAGTGGTCTCCTATGCTAACGTGTTTCAACATTCTCAGGTTCAGTGTATCTGGTTTTATGTTGAGGTCTTTGATTCATGTGAATTTGAGTTTCGTGGAGTTTTATGGATCTATTTGTATTCTTCTACATGCAAATCCACTTAGACCTGCACCATTTCTTAAAGATGCTTTCCTTTCTCCATTGTATATTTCTGGCTTCCTTATCGAAAATCAGGTGTCCTCAGGTGTGTGGATTTACATCTTGGTCTTTGATTCAATTCTATTGATCAATGTGTCTGTTTTTTTTTTCCCCAATACTATGTGTTTTTTTATTACTACAACTCTGTAGTACAGCTTGAGATCAGGGGTGGTGATACCTCTGGAAGTTCTTTTACTGTTCAGGATTGTTTTAGTTACCCTGTTTTTTTTTCCATATGAAGTTGAGGATTGTACTTTCAAGGTCTGTAAAGAATTATGTTGGAATTTTGATAGGGATTGCAATGAATCTGTAGATTCCTTTTGGTGGGATGGCCATTTTCATTATGTTAATCTGACCGATCCATGAGCATGGGAGATCTTTTCATCTTCTGATACCTTCTTCAAAGACTTGAAGTTTCTATCATACAGGGCTTTCATTTGCTTGTTTAGAGTTACCCCAAGATATTTTATGTTATCTGTGGCTATTGTGAAGGGTATTGTTTCTCTGATTTTGTTCTTAGCCTGTTTGTCGTTTGTACATAGAAGGACTACTGCTTTTTTTATTTGTTTATTTGTTTGTTTTGAGTTTATCTTGTATCAAGCCATTTCACTGAAGATGTTTATCAGCTGTAGGAGTTCCCTGGTAGAATTTTTGGGGTCACTAATGTATACTATCATATCATCTGCAAATAGTGATACTTGGACTTGTTCCTTTGCAATATGTATTTCTGTGTTTAGTTGTCTTATTGGATAAGCAAAACTGTTAATGCTGTTTGTTCTGTCTCAGCAGCTCCCTCCTTTTATCCCTGTTGCAGATGACTCTGATCAGTTGTATCAGTCCTTTCCTGACGGCTATTACTTTGTTGATTGTGTAGTAGGAAGCTTTAGACTCTCTGCCTCTGGGAGAATCTTTTACCTCTGCTCCTTCCCTGACCTAGGTTGACACTGGACACAAGTACCTGTAGGGAAGAGCCACTCTGCCTTCCTTGTTCATCCACAGGCCTCCTTGGTGGTTCTGAGGATATTTTCCCATGACAAACAGCCTGATGCCTTTAATGGTTCTTGTGAAGGAGATATTTTCCTGCCACATCCACAAGAGTATATTTTCCTTCTCTTTCCAGCTCCAGGAGATCTGCTCATGTGTCCTGTGGGCTTGCTGCCCTTCCCTATGTATCTGTAATTTGCCCCACCTTATACACCTCCACTGCCATTAGAGGCTCCCTCTCCCTGGACACCCTGACCCCAGTCTTTCTTTCGAGCACTCGGGGATCAGCACAGTAGAGCCTGAGAGTGGGCACAAATTCCCCATGTGTCTGTCGCTTCTGCAGTCTTCTATACTTTCATGGTCTGTTAAATCATTGACATGTGCAAATCATTAATATTTATCAATTCATTACAGAGTCCTAGCTGCTGTCTTCCTGCACGTGTATACAGTGGGCTCATCTTTCCCAGGTGTTCTGTTACAGGCCAGCCTCCTTTCACATCACATGTGTTCTTAGAGGCTTCTGCCCTAACTGGATTATTGCCCTGTGGTCTCTGTTGATGGGTTTGTGAAAAATCCTAATGTAGATGAATCCAGGCTTTTAAATTTTTTGATGCAAAAGTAGGAGTGACCATATTTTCTATACCCAAGTGGAAGCTGGAAGATCCTAATCAGATGGTATTTGTCAATTTTTTATGTGCCCCAGTTAAAACATTGCTGATTGTAAGAGGTTATTGTCAAGAATATCCTGCCCAGGCAAGGTCTTTGTGCCTAGCAGGACCCCTACCAAAGGTGAATGGAACCCCAAAACTAAGGTAGAATCCCAGTAAGTGACAACCTAACAGGCTATCAGATGAAAATGTATATGGCCCAGTGGAGACATTTTGCTAGGGACAGTCCAGCTAGCAATCCAGGTGATGGACCTAACAGGGCAGCAAGAGTTCACACTAGCCACCAGCAGGTTTAGTTATGGCATGTCAGTGAGCTCAGATGACACTGTTGTTCTCTTGAAAACCAAATCCAAGACATGGTTTCCTTTTATGGTTCCATCTCCTCCAGGAGACTATGCCTGTGCTGTCTCCTAATCCCAGTTACTTAGGCACCAGCATGCCATCTGTACACGTCAGCTGAAGTTTGGGACTGAGCAAACTGTCAGAAAGATCCTATGGAGAGCAGGGCACCCCCAGGAGACTGCTGACATCTGGACACTGTGGTATGTCTTGCCTTCCCTCTTTCTTCGCCTTTCTGTTGATCCTGGATGTAGAAGCTTGCAGGAAACGGAAAGAAGTCATTTTATGATCTTAGAGGACCCTGATCTACTGGAACCGGGTCCTAGGCTCAGAGCATGTGCTTTATGACTTACAGACCCTCACCTGCTGAACTTGGGTCTGGTGACAGGAGAAATGGAAACTCTGTAAGTCATAAAATGGGGTCTATAAGTCATTAAATGCTGCTTGATTATATCCCACATATCACCTTGTCCAATGTGTCAGCAGTCTACCAAATGCCCCCTGTTCTCCATAGGGTCTTTCTTACAGTCTGCTTAGTCCCAAACTTTAGCTGACATGTGCAGGTGACATTATGGTGCCTGACTGACTGGAATCAGGGGACAGCACAGGCATAGTCCTGGGGAAGAGATATGACCACAAAAAGCTACCATGTTTTGGGTTTGGTTTGAGTGCTTGCATTTGCCAGATGTAGAAGACCCTTTTGTGGGTGGGCCTGGAGGAAGGTGGTGAGATCATGGGAAA